AAGCTGCACATATGTGCCTGAATAACATCACATGCGCATGCAAACTGATGTGTGATCTGTCCAAGCCTACCGGCGGATCTGTGATGTACATGTCCCAGCATGCATGCATACCTACGCGCTTGCTGGGATGTGCGACATGCAGGACGTAGCTCCCTAGCCATGCGGATATCTGCCTCTCATTCCCTGCCATTCATGTACACGGCTGAAGCGTGACTCTGAGAAGTGCAGCGCGAGTTGCTCGGACTAAGCCCCGGAGATCACCAGAGGCTTCGCCTGAAGTGATCCTTGCCCGAGCACTCCTACGGTGCCTGGGCCATAGCAGTTTGGGAAGAGGTTACGTTTTGCAGCTACGCACTGAGCTAAGCTGCCTTCGAAGCTACATCATTAACTGCATCAGTATCACAAGGCTGTGGGAAATGCTTGGCTTGTGTGTGGGAGTACGGTACTTAACAAGCTTCTGTATACTTTTTCGGAAAATGCCCTCTCCCCACACCTCAGCCGACAGCAGCAGCCAGAGGCGGATTCAAGGCGCAAGTGTGTTGCCACTCGACTGCATGGGACAGGTGTGGGTTCAACGGCAGTGGCATAAATATCGCTCGTTGTAAGTTGCCCAGGTGAAACACGAGGCAAGGAGGCTTCCATGGCCGCGCACTTGAGCACAACTTGTTTCTCCAATCCTCTGCTCCCGCACCAAGCGTCTCGTGCTGTGGGCACAAGAACCTACTTACCGGCGACGGTCTTGACTCAAGAATCTGTTGAAGCAAGGCCACAACGCGGGATGGAATGACAAGGCCTATTCCTTCATGCAGACCGCTAGCCTAGCCGCTGGCCATCGGCATCGAGTGCTTTCCGTCTAACGCGCGAATCCCAGGCCTTACCCTGGGATTTAACTGACGAGTCTGAACGCGCAGCCAGACTTGAAAAGGACGACCACATACGACCACACTTTCCCAGAGTTTCGTGTAGGCTTCAGGCCGACAGTTCACTGCTTGGGGTCTAAACGGTCTGGCTATGTACTAGAAACCGGCTTCACGGCGGCAAGTAGTCAGGAGGCGACACCTTCCAGGCCCCTCCGCCCAGGTCCTCGGCGTGGCTCGCCTGGGCAACGGGTCGGGCGGGGGGTTTTCTTCCAGGTCTTGGGTTTACTCAGCCAAGTTTATGGTCTACTTGTACGTGTTGTCTGCAGCTGGATTACTACGTACCTGAGACTGCAGGACCGGTGTTTGTCCAGATTGTCGCCATGTCAAGGGTCTGTTCATGGATACACCAGGTCCAGTAGTCTTAACTCTCGTGCCAACAGCCCCAAATCACTTCTTCAGACATGTAGTTCCTGGCGGCACACGGTCTGCTATGCCCTGTTACTCAATGCTGTTCCCACGAGGGGCTGGATGCTCGCCGGCGATGTATGCATCATCGTTCCGAAAGCTCAAACTCGCAAGCGGGAAGCAAAGCCAGTACGAAAGTTTCCGCGACCTGAATCCCGCACCCACCTGGCACGCAGCACTGCTGCCCCAGGTGCAAATGCCCAGTTGACGCCATCGAGACTCACCGGCTCAACCTGCTCCGAGCAAAATCGGAAGGCTTCGGCCATGAATGAACCGAAGATTTCTCGTTCAGGGTGAAACAAAAGCCGATTCGTACACCGGCAGCAATACCCGAACCCGGCCACAACGTCGGATTGCATCTGACGCAGATCACAGGACTTATCGCCACTGAACCGGTCGATCCCCAACTGCCCCAGAATCTTCGGGCTCTGGTCCAAGGTTTTCCTGATTTTTCCTGTCTTCGATTGCTAGCTCGGCGGTCTGCTGGCACATGTGGTGCACGACATGAGCCCTTGTAAGACATGATTTTACACATGTGCCACGACATCGACGAGGTTTACCAACCTGTGCCGGGAGCCAGTCCTGAGCCTGAGACCCGTCACTAAGAACTGAAGACCTGCTCCATCTCAGCATCCTCGTCGGCATCGAAAAGGTCGCTCTCTCGCGGGAGGAGGGGCTGCAGGTAGATCCAGCCTTTGCATCTCTGGACTGTTTCATCCAGTCTGCAACTCCTCTGCTGAGATTGTTTCAACCTACAGTGCCAGTGGCAGCCAGCAGCTATGACGGCGGGACGTGGGTCTTAGTTTTTGTGGGGTCTTGTGAAGCCAAAGTGTGAAGTTGCACGAAAATGAAGCCCACAGAACCCACGCAGAATCCGACGGTCATGGGTAAACTTGCGAGCCGGAACACCATGCGGTCCACTCGAGGGCTCGTAGACGACTTGAACAGCGAGCACCAGAGCCTCGGGCTTGGGCCCCATGGGCTGAGGGGCTCGGACTCAGAAGTTTGAGACTACTAGAACAACAGCAAAGCCATCATCGTCGTCGGCAACATCGCCATCACGATCACCACCACGACCATCATCACGGCAACGAGCAACCGCAGGCTGGTCTGAAATTAGAGCGGCAGAAATTGAGGAGGTTGAAAGCCGGTGGTACCGTCAAGCCCCAAACGAAGAAAAAGGTTCTCAGAATCCCCAAGAGGGCTGCTTTGGGCGTTTAGAAAATCGGTCGGAGCGTTAGTCGGGGCTCGTGACTGCACTTCTCGTGGTCTCGGACAATTAAGTCCCTGGCTTCGGATCCTAGGCTCAAGGGTCCTTCGCTCTGGGATGGTATCAATCAAGTGCTACACTGCTACAGCTTGTGGAGCCGTGCTCGCTTCAAATTAATGATGTCGCGGAAAGCTGCTGGAGAAACCCAAACCAACCAGGCATAAACTTCGGCTTGAAACTTACCTTTTTCAATGCGACCAGCAGACTGTGGTCCAGCCGTCGTCACAGCTCGGACGCCAGTAAACGACGTCGCCCTCCTAGCGCGTGGATGTTTAGCCTCCGCTTCCTGTCCCCACTACTACGAACAAGGGCGACCGTGCTGGCCCGTCTGTCGGTTTGCGCGCAGAGCAGGTATATAGTGCTGACAGTGGATCAAGGCTTCCAAAACACCAGACGGTGCGTAAAGCCGTTTCGAGAGCACCATTTTCTCAACTTCTTCTGCCTACACTCTCTGTTCGTCACGGCATGCACTTCGCAAGCTGGACCCAAATCGGGTTGGAGAGTCAAGGACTGAGAGTCACTAAGAGCTTAGAGCTTAGGACCTTATGGGTTCGGAGTTCGGGGTGTTTGGGGTTTACGGACTAGCACCGAAGGCTGCATGCCGGGAGAAGGACACTCCAAACTCAAAGACTGGGTTTACGCTTTCACACTCGGACTTGCCTGATGAGGCTCAGGGTGCGCTGTCGGATTAAAGATGGAGCTTAGGGTCTGGATTCAAGGCCCATTCAACGTGACACTAAGGCCCTTTAAGTAAAGGTGACACAGCCTCAGGCTTTCGGGGGTGGGGAGTAGGGTAGAGTTCTGTTCGTAGTCACATCGAAAAGCTGGTACACCGAAACTTAGGTTGCCTTGTTTCGGGAGCAGGCCATTCAACAGTGAGTCCTTGATAGTCCTTGCAAAGGATACCAATTACGAATTGGTGCTTGCATTCGTTTGGCTATCGGCTATCCGCTCCAGCATGACACGCCGTAATACGCCGTACATAGGCCGGGACCCCTGAAAGTTCTGATGCGGAACCTGGTACGGCATGCGGCTTTCAAGCTGGAGAACGGTATGGGTTCCTACAGGACTCGGAAAACGCAGGAGAGCCTGATTTGTCGCTTGCATCACACGCAGGTGCACACAAGTTGGTGGCTCAAGCTGTCCTAGGCATGACAAAGCGTTCATGCAAAGGATATCTATTTGACACTTTGTGCATCGGAATTCTGTAACCTGTGAAGCTTTACCACCTTCCTGGAGTTGAATCATTAAATCCCCTCGAATCATGACGATCAAGGCACTGCGAAAGCAATCATGGACGTCAGGATGCTTGCAGCTCTTGTTGGCAGGGCCTAATTATTAAGCTTCGGAACATCAAGATGTAATGTTAAAGGTTTCGGGCATTCTTAACCCTACTAAGAAAATTCAAGAGCAACACGTGGTTCCAAGCCTCTAACGGTATAGAGCTTGCGGTGAGCATTATGACTCGGTGAAACAACCCCCTGATCATGCCACAGCGACAGCATCGTTAAAAGTGTCGTGCCCTGTGCGGGTTTCAACCGCCCAAAGGGCCCGGTTCGACGAGGCCCGCGTTTCACAGGCGGCTTTTTCTCGCGAGCTAAACAAACAAATGCGCCTCCACATTACTATGCTATAGTACTACGTAGTAAGTAATTTAGAAAGAGTAGTAGTAATAGTAATAATCGTATAGTAGTAATAATCGTATAGTAGTAATAATCGTAGTAGTAGTAGTAGTAGTAGTAGTAGTAGTAGTAGTAGTAGTAGTAGTAGTAGTAGTAGTAGTAGTAGTAGTAGTAGTAGTAGTAGTAGTAGAGTCGAAGTCGTAGTCGAAGTTGCAGTCGTAGTTGCAGTGGACGCAGTGGTCGCAGTCGCAGTAATCGTAGTAGTCGTAGTAGTCGTATTAGTCGTAGTAGTCGTAGTAGCCGTCGTTGTACTACTACTACTTGCAGCAGCAGCAGAAATACAGTAGCAGCAGTAGCAGCAGCAGTAGCAGCAGCAGTAGCAGCGGCAGTGGCAGTGGCAGTAGCAGTGGCAGTGGCAGTGGCAGTGAAAAGTGGCAGTAGCAGTAGGAGTTGGGGTAGGAGCAGGAGTAGGAGTCGGAGTTGGAATTGGAGTCGGAAAAATAGGAGGAGTAGGAGCAGGAGTGGTAGGGGTAGAGGGGAGGTAGGAGATAGGAGGTAGGAGCGTAGCAGAATGGAACACTGTCTGGGCTGTCGGCACAATGTTTGTCAATCTTCCTTGCGTGGCTGCTGAAGGCACTGGATGTTCGGCATGTACAAAGACAACCACATACTGTTGGCAACTGCACTTCCTATTCACTTTAAATCTATGGTAGTTTTCCATCTTCGTATCTCATGTCCGCAACCCGAGGCCTCAAGGCCTTCTTCTCCTCCGAGACTCGCACTTCATCCAGCGAGCTGCGGATCGCGGAGAAGCTGCTGCTGTTCCTCGTCGGCAAGCATGACGGTCTGGCGAGTGGTTCTGCCTCAGCCACCAGCAAAAGCTGAAAGCAGCAAGCACGGCAATGACAAGAAAAGTCCAGGCCACAAGACTCAGGCAGAGTCTCCTTGGTGGCAGTGGCTGGTAGCAGTTGTCGGCGTCGGAAGCATGAAGGCTTGGTGGCCGTCGTCATGGTCATGTCCGTATTGGTATTAGTATGAGTATTAGCATTCGTATCGGCGGTAGCATCCGCATTCGCATAAGCATCTGCACTAGCAGTAGCAGGGGCATGAGCATGAGCATTAGTATTTACTACCACTATCAGGAGTAGAAGAAATCGTAGTAGTCGTGGCAGCAGTAGTAGTCGTTGTCGTCGTCGTCGTAGCAGTAGTAGCAGCAGTAGTAGGAGTAGTAGTAGTAGTAGTAGTAGTGAAATAGTGGCGCGGCAGTAGCAGCAGCAGAAACAGCGCTAGTTAGTGCGCAGTGGTAATGACAAAAGCCCCCGCGGTACTCGCGCCAGGACGAAGAGCCTCAGGATGAGAATTACAGCCATGACGACCACCGCCCAAAATTTTACAACCAGACTGTGCAGTCATTGGCATGATCATCAGCGCCAGCACTACCTCTAGCACCAGCATCATCACGACCATCTGAAACGTGCATCATCACAATCTTCATCTTCACCCTCATTGACCCTCATCATCTTCACCAACATCATGATCCACCGAGCCGAGCCACAAGCCCTGCGAAGCTGAAAAAGACAGGATGGCCCAAGAAATGCTTTGTACCGGCACCTAGGCTTCATCATTGATTAAGATCGTGAGGTATATAGAATAGCCGGATCCATATTCACGACATGCGAAGCCGCCTCACCGCAAGGCCCTTTCTCCTTAAACTCTGGGCAGCCCTCAACCAAGGCACGCTGGATTGCAAGGATCTCCTTGAGCTTGTGCGAGTTCCTGTGGCCAAATCCCTATTCCCCCATGATCCCGAAGTCAGCGATATCTCTGTTAACTTCCGTGAGTGATGACTTGGAAGTCAGCGACTGCGTGCTCTGGTTGGCAATAGCTTGCAGCCAGCCTCAACAACGGGCGTGTCGTACTAACCAGGCCGACTACCTCAGATAGAACTTCGAGCACGGCTCCAGAAGGTTCGAGGTTCCCTTTCGTGGAGCTTCCGAGGCCGCAAGAATGCGGACTCCCAATGCCGGACCCCACAAGCTTGCAATTCTCCAATCACAAACCTCACTTGGATCCTCTGCCGAAGGCACAGTGGTCAGTGCACAAGCCGCATGGCACACCGCATGGCACGGCTCTACCGGCAAGACGACGCCGCCGCGGATGATAACCAACTGCAGAGCGTCGGGGCCCAGATTTCGAGACACATGACCAGGAGCTTTGGTGTATATATATATATATATATATGGTACCCCCCCCCAAAGATCCACGCTTTCTGTCTGTTTCCAGCTCTTCGTGTGCCATCCCCGTTTGTTTGTTCTTCATGTCGTCTGTATGTGTGTCTTCCTACGTGAATACCACAACATTTAGCAGACACACACACACACACATGGTTGGGCAAACTCCGCTCCAAAGATAGTGGGTACAGGCCTTGGCCCCTTAGCCCCGGTACAAACCGGTACAACCGGTACAAGTTGTACCGGGGGAATCCAAGATTCCAAGATTCCAAGATTGCTGCGGAGTCTTTTTTGGAATCCTGGAACTGGATGGGCTCCGGTATCCAAGATTCCGAGAAAGAGTTCGCAGCAATCTTGGAATCTTGGAATCTTGGATTCCCCCGGTACAAGTTGTACCGGTTGTACCGGTTTGTACCGGGGGGACCCTTCCAAGGTTCCAGGAGAAGACCGGTACAACTTGTACCGGTTGTACCGGTTTGTACCGGGGCTAAGGCCTGCATCCGAGATCTAATACCCGATGTGTTGCCGGCAACAGCCCTTCCCATCCCTCTCCCCTTCCCTCCCCTTCTCTCTTTTCACCTCCCCACCTTCCCCCTCCTTTCTCAACAACCCTGATAAATATTCCTTATTAGAAAATTTGTCTATCCCCTGTGTAGAGACCGTGTCGAGAATCCTAAACCCTTATAGACTCTTTATAGAAACCTTACAGATTCCCTTATAGATTTTTTTTATAGAAACCTTACAGATTCCTTATATAAAGACCTTATAGACCTGAAATGGAGCCCGTATAGAAAAACCATAGATTCCTTATAGAAACCTTATAGATCCCCTGTATAGAAACCTTCGAGAAACCCCTCATAGATCCCTTATAGAACTCTGTTACAGATTCCGTTCCGAAACCGTGTGGGTTCCCAAAACAGCGGCCTTATGAACACCTTGAAGAATAGATCCCATCTATAACGACCTTATGGAAAACCCTCATACAGCTCTGTTTTGGAGCCGTTCCAAATAACCGTTATAGATTCTCTCTAGAAGCCTTATGAATTCCCTATAGAGACCTTATAGAGATCCCGTATAGATCCCTTATCGAGAATCCTTATGGATTCATTATAGAAGTCCTTGCATTGCAGAGCCCCATCGTAGAACCTTATGGGAGCTCCCTATAGATCCCTGATATGGAGCCCTCATAGACAGCCTTTATAGATTCTTCCAGAAACTTTATAGATCCCTTATATAGAGAGTTACAGAAGCCCCTTATAGATCCACAGATGGAGTTCTTTATAGAAAACTTTGAGAGATTCCTTGCACGGAGCCTTCATAGACAACTTTTATATACTCCTTATGAAAACTAGTAGATTCCCCTCTATGTGGTTTTCCCCCCTCTAGAAACCACATAGAAGCCCGGTATAGATCCCTCATTTTGGGCCCATGTAGAAACCCTTACAGATTCCTTCTTGAAATCTTATAGATCCTCTATGTAGAAACCTTATAGAAACCCATGATATAGAAAAACTATAGATCCCTATAGAGAGAGTTTCTAGAAACTCATTATGGATCCCTCATATGGAGCCCTTATAGCAAACCCGTTTATATTCCTTATAGACACCTTGTACATCCATTGCAAAAAAACCCATTAGAAACCCCTTGTAGATCCCTCATATGGGCCCATATCGAAAGTTCTATAGATTCCATATAGAAACTTTGTAGATCCTCTATATAGAAACCCAGATCTTCGTGGTCGATGTCGATGCCGGAGTATTTGCGTACTTGTTTTTTCTCCAACATGCCATGAAGATATTACATTTTTGTGTCATATCCATGGGCTGACATATGCAAGACAATATGCATGTCAGGCCGGCAGTTATATGCTATGGAGGAGTGGTAACTGTGGTGCACCGTGTCATTAGCTTCATGGATTGGCCTGGTGGCTGTTTAGCCAGAGAACCCCTGTCCTTGACGCATTGCCTATGGGTAAGGTAAGATTTCATACCTGAGGACCATATCTGATGTACACATGTACAAACTAGCAATCACAACCTTCTGTGTTGCAACATTTATATAGAAAATTATCCTGGACCGAATGCAAACTGTTGCGTATCATATTGACAGAGGAACAGCATATGATGATGTATGGATGCCATATCCAGTCTTTGACATGAGACTACGAATGCCAGGAATCTTCTTGTGCTCATACACCGAGGGATAGTACAGTTGTTGAAACCAGTGGCATAATTGTTTTCAGACACGATGACGACCGATATCAAAGGTAAACAGGTGCATAGCAATATCCTGCATGCGAGCGTGCCGGGATGCGTGGACGAACCTGAAATTTGACATTTGTGCTTTTAATTCTATGTCTGAATCAGTGCGAAACTTTCTGGGTTTCGGTTTGTAGAATGCGTGATATGGCTATGTAGCATTTAGCTAAGCGTTTGATATTGTCTATATAAAAAACTAGCTAAACAGACCCTAAAGTCACGATCATTGTGCCACCGTTTGTCTCCATCACCGATCACCCGGTCCACATTGTCGTTGTCTTTTCATTTCAGAGGTGCAGTCGTGTTCGTTTGTATTCGCATATTCCTCCCTCGGAAAGTTTACGCTTTATGTCCATCACCCGTGTCCATATGCAAAGAGACATGCATAAGGGTTTACAAATACTGCAGCTACATGCTGTTGTAAGTGATGTGGGTACCAAGGGTAATCCGGCAATGCTGTGGAATGGTACTCCGGCAATGCTGTGGAATGGAAGGGTTGTTTCGGATTAATTGAGTCATATTTGAGGGGGTTCTTTCCGAATAAGGCCAAAACGCGCGAATCATATTTGAGGGCGTTCCTTCCGACTAAGAACAAATTGCGACTCATATTGGGGGGGGTTCCTTCCGAATAAAGCCAAAATGCGCGGATCTTTGGGGGGGGGGGGAAGCATATATATATATATATATATATGGCATACTGGCCCATACTGGCTGTTGAATTCACGCTAGGCCTTGCGAAGTGGATTCTAACTGCCGGTTCCACTGTGCAAAACAGAAGTATACAAGTCGGGAACATTTCCGAACATGTCGGCGGCCTGTCAGGAACTACACCGGCCACCTGCAAATCCAGAGTCTAGCCGAGTATGGCGTCCCAAGCTTTGCAGGTCAGCACAGCTCAAGCTCAGCTGTCCGTTGGCCTGGTTATATGAGGACAGGTTCGCTGCAGAGCAAGGCCTGGATCCCGACCATGCAGAGCATGTAGGCGTCGAAGCACTTGCCGCCAACTTGTACCACGTCGGATTGCCTTGCTTCCCAGGGTGGGCCGACATCAGCTCGCAAATGCCATTGGCACGGTGGCACCCAACACGCATTCAAACATCACATGTGCAAGAAAACTGGTTTCCAATAAGTCCAACTATTGACAAGCGAAGAAAACAAACAAAACAGAACCAGCTCAACGTAACTCTGAAGACACTAGAGAATCTGAAAGGGGCCTGCCAGAACCACGGAACAACAACAAGACCACTCCAAGACCACCACAATGAATCAAGCCCGCTCAGGGACCTCTGCCGGAGACACCCCAAAACAACTCTCGGACAGTTCCGGCTTTTGAATAATTAAGTGGTTCCATCATTTTAGCACACACTCCGTGTTGGCACAAACAACACCGCACTAAAGCAAGCAAGGTTGGTTTTTTCTACAAGTGGTGCGTTACATTCACACACAAGGCCCGAAAACCCTAACAACCCTAGCTGCCTGCTAGACGGGATGACCATCGTTATCACCCGCACCATTGCTAGCACTGCTGTCATTATCATCCTTGCCGCAGCAACTTACGACATCATACTTGTTGTAGACTGCGGTATTCCTGCAGCTGTTGGAGGGTCTAGCTAGTGAAACTGCTGCTGCTCAGGGTCCTCGCACCACTCCCACCACCAGCTGCTGCTACCACTACTTGCTACCGCTACTGTTCTATTTCTACCAGTATTCCCAGTACTAGTACAGGTACAGGTATCGGTACTGGTACTAGTACTCGCACTAGGACAAGTGCCAGTACCAGTACGGTATTAACCGTAGTACTAGTACCACTACTGCTAGTACTCCCAGTCTCCTCCTCCTACTCCTACTGCTTCTACTATTCCTACTAGTCCTACAAGTCACTACTCCTGCTGCCCCTGCTACTCCTACTACTCCTTCCACTCCTACTACTCCTACCACTCCTACTGCTCCTACTACTCCTACTACCCCGATTCCTCCTCCTACTCTTACTGCGAATTGTCAGCGTAGGTAGCTGGGCCAACGACAGAAATAATGAAACTTTTCGACACAGTACCCCTAAACGCAACTTTGAATGGCCGAATAGAAACTTAGCACAGGTGCCTGTCCATGGTCTGATACCAGGCTCGCAGCGTTGCCGTTTCGGCCTGACGTAGCTCCTTCATGCACAATGCCACGAATTCTATTTCGGGACTGCCCTCCAGATGGAAGGTCTATGAAAGAGAAACCAAGAGCGGAGTGTAGTAGCAGTAGTAGTAGCAGCAGCAGCAGCAGTAGCAGTAGAAGTGGCAGTGGCAGTGGAAGGGGTAGCGGTAGTGGTAGTGGTCGTGGTCGTGGTAGTAGTAGTAGTAGTAGTAGTAGTAGTAGTAGTAGTTGTCACCCACCTGTACTAGTAGTAGTAGTAGTAGTAGAAGTAGTAGTAGTAGTAGTAGTAACTTAGTAGTAGCAATAATCGTAGTAGAAGTAGTAGCAGCAGCAGCAGCAGTAGTAGTAGTAGTAGTAGCAGTAGTCGTGGTGGTGGTGGTGGTGGTGGTGGTGGTGGTGGTGGTGGTGGTGGTGATGGTGGTGGTGGTAATGGTAAATAGTCGCCGTCGTAGTATATAGTCGTCGTCGTAGTAGTAGCATCAGTAGTAGTAGCAGCAGCAGTAACAGCAGCAGCAGTAGGAGGAAGAGGAGCAACGGGTGGTAGCAGCAGCAATGACAAAATTGTTATCTGCCCAATCCGAAGCTGTCCTTGGCGTCGGTATATATCCAACACACTGCCAGTGCGAAGGACCCCGCCCATGCCTCAGAACAAGTTGCTGAACCTCTGCTGCAGACTGGCACGAGCTAGCACTCGCACGTGCGAGCCCATACCAAGTGGTCGCGCAGGCTGCCACCAAAGAGTTCAAGTGACACAGCTTGGGAATTTTGCTGCCTGCATCGGGAAACTACTGCCTGTCGGACTAGCGTGAGATACTGGGGTTTCAATCTCGGTATCAGTGTCACAAGCATTACTGCAAGAAGGGAACATGACTCTTGCATACTCTTGCACTAGGCCCACTGGGCTTCCCCCACTGTGTCGCGAGCAGGAAATTCTCATTCGGCTCTCACTCTCTCGAGGTTCTTGTACCTATTAGGTTGGGGGTGAAACCTAAGTGTGAGACCGCTCAACACGTAAGACATGTCGTGCTGGTCGGCCAACCTCAAACGACTGAGCCTCGCTGGGGTTCCTGAGTAGGAAAGTACTACGGGTGTAATGAACAGAAGGATGCATAGGTATCTTTGGGCTCCTTGAAGTGAAGCCGATCATCATGCCGGAGAAGTACGCCTGAGGACCTAACCAGCGGTACATTTACCAGGCCAGGAAGCCTCGGTGATGTATCAGTCTATCTGTGAAACTGTGAACCTTGTGAGCATGTCCCCTGTGGTAGCGCCATGTCAATGCCCAAGCTGATGGTGATGATGGTGCACCAAAGCCGGAAACCGTGGCAAAAGCATCAATGGCACGGAACGACCCGTCATGAAGAATTGCACTGCATGAACACGCATATCCAGCAAAACGACGAAGCAGACCGGGTGAAATTTTGGCTAACCCAGGTCTTAAACAAGGAGACCTTGCAATGCGATGATACATGAACGAAGGACATCAGATACTAGAGACGCACACCTGCCGTCCGTAGACCTCGTGGATTGACTTGCAATTGATGTTCCACTGCCTGTCTATTTCCGGAAGGTTGCCCGTATCCAGTAAACTCAGTGACCAGCACGTGCAAACATGAACATGCATCAAAATCTCTTATGGCTGGGACGGTCTCCTACGGCATCGCCATGCAAGGTTGTAAGCAGGCTAGCCGTAGCACATCCCAACGAACCCAGCCGCGACTTGATGGAAGGGAATGGCATGGAGAACAAACACGTGCGATCCCGCACCTGTACGGGTTCAGCTGAGCGAGGCGTGGCGGTTGAGTTTGAGGCTTCGACTCTTATGCTTGCACAGGCAAGGTTTCATGGCCACTGCGCTTCCCGAGAGTTCCGAACTTTGGGACAATTGCGCAAGATACTCGCGCTTGCTGTACACATCCCCAACAGGCTCTCAACTTGAACGAGGCACTGCCAGGTCGTATGGGGTCGCAAAGCAGTATGTGGCCATTCCCGCATAAAGCAGAGGAATGAGATGATTGTACCTGGGACGGTGGCGGACTGACGCTGCTTGCTGCCGCCAAAACAATAGTCATCCTACCGAAGATGCAGAATATGCGATGCCCCAATTAAGAAGACTGTGTTGACCCTGCGAGTCTCTGTCGTTGCTAGTGAAGGGGTTCAGCTTACAGTCCGCGCCAGACAGGCGTGCACGCAGTGGCGCACATTTTCGACTAAAGTCACGCTCTTTCCAGTCCCTCGTGGACCTAGTCCGCCGGAGGCAGGGGAAATCATGCTCCCGCCAGCAAGACTACTCAACTACGAGGACGACGAAGAGTACCAGTACGACGACGACAATACCATAACGGACGGAATGACATGGCCACGACCATTACTCTACCAAAACGAGGCGTTGCAGCACCCGACCATGCGCAGCTTGTGCACAAGGAGTTGCAGATTACGCACCCAGAAAAGTTTGCTACAGAGTCTAGGTGTAACCGTGTAACCCTAACCCCATGTAGCAAGCTTGATCGAACCAACAAGACAAACTGGCAATGACTTTCCAAACATCCACACTACCCCGCTCAATGACCAAACAAAGATCAACACATCAGCAGCTTATCTTCAACTGTTCTGCTGCCGACGTGCGCGTCGTATCTGGCATAGCTGGTCATGCAGGTCACAGCCAAAGGCAGGGTCACCTCGAAATGAGACTAGCTCTTATGCGGCCACGTCCTTTCCCGAGACATGGTGGTAAACAGCACAGCAGGACATGCCCTGCGCACATGACCAGCAGAGGAAGAATATCACTACACAGTTTTTACCTCGAGATGAACGGCCTGGATGCATTCTTGTGCGTAGTGATCTTCGGCAAGCGGCTATCTGAATGGCGTAGTAAGGAGCAAAAAGCTGCACACCAGCATGCCTCATACTGACTGTTGGGAGTAGGTTAGGGGAGTTCTGGCTTTGGTGTTTATGGCAGGGCGTTGTTGTCTGACTCCGGCACTCCGAAGCCCGGAGTCACGGTCGAGCAACACACAGGCCCCGTCTGCCAAGCCCCTGTTAAGGGCTTTGAGGTCTCTCGGTGCTCAGGCCCAGGCAAACGCAACTAACCTCACAAAGGAAATAAGTTGAAGCCCGAGATCAGAGACACGCACGCGATTGATTCAAAAGTCTGCTCTTCTCCTTTTCGTTCCACACTACGAACGGTCTACCTGCGCAACTCAGCCAAGCGAGTCCATCCCGATGACACTTGCACTGTTTGGACGCCCCCCCCCTCCCCCCCGCGACAGAGCTCAGCTGACGGTTTTCCACAATCGAAGAAAATGTGAGACGACAAAAACGATACCTGGCATGATGTAGCTGGTGATGACGGAAAACTGATGGTGAGACCACAGACCCGCAAAGACCACAAAGGCCGGCGCACAAACACAACACCATGCGGCACCGGGCACAGCAGTGAGACATGCACCCGAAAAGTCCGACGCTCTGGCTTGATCGAGCATTCTGCTACTGGTTCCTTTTCTTCGAGTCGGCTAGACCCCAAACAAACACCATCCCAATTTCCTGGATGCCAAAAAGGTACGATTTGATGAGCAACATGATCTCGGCAGGAATATGCCAAGACCCGATGCCGCCTTGTCGCTGAAAAGAGGCTTGTTGAAGGTTTGGCCGCTCCGACACCACAGGGAGGCTTTGTACAATCAGACTGCGGTTCCCTTTGTTGGGTGAGATCAGGTCGTTCGAAGCTCCCGGATTTTCTTAATACTTAGTTACTTAGTTGGCCAAGCCCCACACACGTTGGGAGCATGATCGGCCCAGAACCGGTGCTCTGAAAGTCCTCGACCCGAAGATATCAATCGGCTGCATGGCCGTGTCAGATATGCTCTACCGCAATTATCGCACGTCTGGCGAAGCGCCCCCGGGTGGGCAGCACTCTGCAAAGCCTGAGCCCGTCACCATATAAAACTGCACTCATCCCGAGGTGGATCAAGCCCGCGAGCAGCAAGTTGGCGCTGCACAGCCTCGAATCGCATTGCATTTCAACGACTTGGAGCTAAGAGCAATGGTGCGACTACTCAGGCTGTGTGTTGAAGCTTGGCAGGACTTGGCAGCCAGCCCATCCTGGCCGCTCATTTTCGATGACATGGGGCGCACTCTACGTTTGATCTACTCCCTCCTTTCTTCTTCCTCGTCCTCATGCGTGGCATCCGACAACTGCCAGCAGATCTGCATCCCGAAGCATGCACACCGGCCGCGATCAAATGTGGCACTTGTCCTAACAGCTGTCAGGTCGCCTGATGAACCATCGCGGGGAGTCTCCCAAGCGTTCCTCGGTGAGCCTGACGATGGGCTCTGGACTTTGAAGGCTGGGGCCTACGAGTTTGACATTGACACTCCCTGAAAAAATTGCACAGGGCAAGCCGGAGGCTAAGGCTTATGGCATGGGGAGCGGCACAGGAATCTGCAAAACGTCGGTCTTGCAGACAACGACAGCAAGATCGTCAGAAGTAAGGTGAAATGACAGCTTGCAAATCACGAGAACCGAGAAATGACACCGCACGACAACGAATCCCATCAACTGGAAGGAGGGATTGTAGTCGGTGGTCATTTCTTACAACAACAAGTTCAGCCTTTGGCGAATCTGTTGCAGCACGGCACTTACGAAGGCTCACTGTGCAGAAGGTAAACTGGTCAGAAAGTGCAATAGCTAGGCTAGGCAGATGCGTGTGTCGTATTGAAAATTGCTGCTGGAAACTAAGGGTCGAAACAGGGGAGGGCCCCCCCCGGAACTTGTACAATGCCAACGCCAGTTTGACGGTGGGGTATGGTGGGGTAATATGGGGTAATACTTTTTGCATCCGGGCTTGGGAAGTCGGCCAAGGAAGGTGATAGGCAACAACAGCATCGCACCAAGCTGCAGCACTACTGGCTACAGTTCATGGTCTTACGATGCCATCCAAATCAATCCATTTGCGTGGTGCCTGGGGGTTGCTGGACCAGATAAGGTCCCAGACATGGTTTTGGCCTGGGCCACTACTGCTTAGAACGACAACTCCCACAAGCTTCGCGGAGCTAATGCAGCCACGGCACCAGCGCAACCCGTAGCAGGCGAGAGTGCCGCCAGCCAACAAGTTACTGAAGACAGGCACGTTCTGCATCCAGGCCGGAATCGAGGCCTAAGCGAATAACAACGGCAACCACCACTTGCTGCTGGATTTGAGCTAGAATGTCCGGCTGAAATTGTAAGCTTCCAGGGTTCGTAGAGGCTCTGGGCATCTAGTGTCGATTTTGAGGTTGGCAAAGGCTTCCGGTAAGACAAGCAACCTCCGCTGGCAAAGGGGAGAAAGGACACTTCCCCAGGTACACAGTAGGGAGGTTGTCGGAGAAAGCGTGAGAGAGGGCGAGGGAGAGAGACGGAGGGAGGGAGGGAGGGAGGGAGGGAGGGAGGGAGGGAGAGAGAGAAAGAAAGAAAGAAAGAAAGAAAGGTGTGTGTGTGTGTGTACATATATATATATATATACGTATGTATGTTTCACTGTGCCTGTGCCCGTGTCTATGTCTGCGTCTGGGTCCGTGTTCGTGGCTGCGTCTGTGTACATATGTGTGCCTTCAGATTTAACGCTTCCTCGCGACTGATGCTCAGAAGCCATCCAACCCCACCTGACTAACCCACACACACACACACACACTAGAAAAAGCCATGCACAAAACCCGGTACAAAAAAGCCAAGGACCCTGAAGAACAGACTGCAAATCGCAGGACGATGGGCCATTGGGCCATTGCACAAGAAGCGCCAAAAGTGGAACTGTGCCAAGTCCATGGTGTTTCCACAACATGCAAAAGCCGTAGCTGTAAGTGCCATCCAAGCGCTCCCATCGACGCTAGCGCCAGTGTGGTCCCGCCCGTTGCAGCGGTGGCTGCACCGCCCAAGAGCAGGATCCTGGAAAGCGCAAGGGGCTCGGCTTAGACCGGTTGGCAGCCCACTTTTTATCCAGCTGACAGGTCTGTACTCATCATGTACTGTCGGTCGGTTCCCTAACTCAGCCCTGTCAGGCCCACAAGCCAACAGCCAAAACGAGGAACCAAAATCCAAGCAATCGCCGGTTGACGCTACCACATAAGAAACCAGGCAGAAAGCACAGCACGGCTTTGCGGACAGGGCCAGGTCTGGAAAACATCGTGGCCACTTTGCGCTTGTTCTGAACTTTCTAGAAATAAACCTCAAACTGGAAATTTTTGGGGTTCGGGTTTGCTGACGTATGCCAAGGTGAGCTTGGTGATACTGCTACCCATATGACTCAGGTTACAGCTGACAGCAACACTAGGGAAGAAGCAACAATGGCAGTAGTCGTCGCCATAGTCGTCCTAGTCGCAGTGGTACGACTCACCGGCGGTAACAATGTGGCAGTAGCCACATTCATTCATTCTTTCGGCAGTAGCCACAGCCGCAGTCGCAGTAGCAGTAGCAGTCGCAATCGCAGTCGCAGTAGCAGTGGCACTAGCAGTGGCAGTAGCAGTCGCAGTCGCAGTCGCGGCAGCAGTAGCAGTAGCAGTACCAGTAGCAGCAGGAGCAGTGTAAGCAGCAGTGGGAGGCTGAGGGTGAGGGGGAGGGGGGAGTAGGAGCAGGAGCAGGATTAGCCTCCTACGTCACGGGGACTTCATGAAAAGGGAACAGCTTGTGCCAACAAGAGGCCCAAAGGTTATCAGGTGATCGCAGCCGAACTCGCCCAGCAAGCCTAAAACAAAGCGTGAGGCGAAGGCTTGTCACGACAGCTTCCTGTTAGAGGTGCTCCTGCATATCGTCGGTTGAAGGGACGCTACATTGGTTTTCTGGACATATCATTACGGTGCAAAGACAGGTGGTGGCATCAGCTTCGTTGAAACTCGCTCCGCAATGGTAACTCCCACTACCGAGAGTAGTCCGCAGCGATCCGAAGCTCCGTCTCGTGGAGGCAGTGAATATGGGCCCTTTGCTTGCGCCTCCTACCTGGATTTTCCACTGCCCCGAAGAGGAAAGGGATAAGAACTAGGACTGGTGATGAAGGTTGCACCTAGACTTTGGAGCCTGTCGAGAAGAATGACAACCACAATAATTCTGGCACACCTCGCGAACAGAAAGACTAGCAGCATTAACAGGCACCGACTTTGTAACAGTTGTCCAACCCACGCATCCTAGCTAAGCACAACACTGAATCGTGCATCCCGAACGTGGGGTCGGGCCCAATGCCGGAGTCTCGGAACCAATTGGAGGTTTCGTTTGATCCCTGGGAGGCTTCCTAGTAGCATCACACGCCACAAAGAGTCAGCATCCGGTACAATGCTGGGCGGTGCTAGTATGCACTTCAAGTTGCTCTGAAGGAGCTGTAAAGCACCGGATGGAACGCAGCCGAGCAGCACGAGACGCTCCGCGGGATGGACAACCTCGTGCTGCTCTGTCAGGGTAACGGGTCCGAACTCCGATGCTTGGATGCGTTTCTTTTCAGGCTCACAGCAAAGTTGCCTAATCATGGCGTAAGGCTTTCGGATCTTTCGGATATTTCGACACCCACCAATCGCTACCATCCAAAACCACATCCAAAACCACAGAAGCCTTGACCCCAAACCCCGAAGCTCTCTCTCTCACTCTCTCAGAATGCCGATAGAAAGCGCGCTGCTGTCATCCCCCTCCTCCTCCTCGCCAGCTCCTGCAAACACTCGTTTTTTGGGGGGTCGTTTGCCTCCGGAACCTTTGCGATGGCTTGTTGTGGCTGCCGCGCAGAGACAGCAGCAACCCCAAGACACCCCCAATTTTAAAATCGCCCAAACAGCCAGTGACGAGCGCAGTCTACCACCAAAGCTTACTTGACATTGAGTGTAGGGTTCAGACTTTATAGCATTGGTTCAGGATCTTTCGCAATTTCGAGTCCGTTCGCTGGAGCTGTGGACTTTGCACTTGCAGGCCCAACAGGTCTGGGACAGGAGGCCTCGAACTTTATAGCTCGGGTTTCGACCCTCGCAACCTCGCACAAAGCAGGCAAGGCTTCGCAACCGGGTCCACAATATGGCGCCTCAAGACACGGATCCACCAGACAGCCCGAACCACAACTACATCAAAGGACATGCATGACCCAACCAAAACCTAAAATGACACCACCACTTCCGAACCTCAAGCAGCCACACACATCAAAGTGCAAAAGGGAACAGAGCAAACTGTTGAATCGCCAGCCTGGCATGATCTCAGAGAAGACCGACACTGCAAAAAGCTTAACCATGAAAGGAATCAAAGGAAGGCTTCCCAAGCTAAGACGTTTGAGTCAGGCCCATGGCAGGCTTTAGCCAATGACCAAAAGCCCCCACCTGTTCGTCTACTGACATCATACTGCATGAGCCTCAGCATCCTGGCTTTTAGGGTTCGGCCGTAGGGGGTTTAGGGTTCAGAGTCTAGGGTTGAGGGGCTTAGGTTGCTTCTGGAGCTCGGACATGCACCAACACAGTTTTTAGTCTAGGGCTACCCAGGTATTGCACGAATGTAAGAACGGCCGCACACCAAAAGCAAGTTAACTTGCAACAACTATAGAACACCTAGTAAGCTCTGTAAGCGCATTGCAATATGGGGATTGCCTTTTCCTTCTCCTTAGCTTTCAAGCTAGAACCAGAGCAGTCTACCGAAGTGCCAAGACCCACCCGACCTCTGGTCAGGCTAGCCGGCAGCTTCGGATCCGCTGCATCCACGCCAAAGAGCCTTGCTCGGCTTCCCGTGAAGCTGCACAGAAAAGCACTCTGACTCAATGTGTCAGCACGTGAAACACTTTTGGCATCTAATGCAGCCTAAATTCGGAACTCTGCTCTAATTATTACTGACAGTGGTCCTGTCATTGCGCATGAGCCTAGCTGTCGAGTTACGGCTTGGCAGTTGGGATATGTATGTTGGGAGTGCAGCATAACAGACCAGGTGCTTGTGATTGCAAAACCTGTGTTTGACAAATGCTGCATCCGGTCTCACGGCGTAGTCTGACACGTGGAAACTCTAGATCGGCATATTGGAAGCAAGAAATCATCGTTCTACTTCCACACTGCTCATGAAAATTTGGCCTGAAGCTGCACATCGCACATCCTAGCGCCCAATGCCTCGTCCTATTAAGTCCTAAGCCAGCAGCTGGTGTTCCACTAAAGAACGCCGCAAGTTTCGGTCTCATGATGTCTCACTAATTACTGCACCGTAATCACACAGAACACATGAGCGAACAGAAGGCAAACAGCTTCAGCCCCAATCAGGGTTCAGAGGAATTCTGCGAGGAGTCTGATGGAAATTCACCGCGTCCTTGCCTGTCAGCCGAGATACCAGCAAGCAAAGTCCATCGTGTCAAGCGTCAGCACCACGAACGGCCGTAACCTGGCAAAGCACGACGGGCTATTAGAAGGCCGTGCATGCACAACTGTCCCTTCCCTGTGCAATTTAGCCCCCTTCAGGATAAAAGTTCTCCTGATAGATTGACCATCTGGGGCTGCATGCTGCTTTATGAGCAGCTCAGGACCCATCAACAAAGCTCCCTTTAGTTGAGCGTCGGCCGCCGGAGCTGCACGGGATGCACGTTGCTCAGCAGTGCCTCCACCGCCTGGCGGAAGTCCCGAGTCTCTTAGAACTGCTGCGACAAGGACAACGACGAATGAGATCGACCAGCCAACGAACAAGGAACCAGCAAGCCAGCGAGAGAGGTCCTGATTCCTCACACCAAGCTTCCATGTGTTCCCCAACCACATCTTAGCCTTCAGCCCAACGCCAGCTGCCAAACCCAGACTGTGTCAAGACACTTCAATCAAGCTCGGGAGAGGGGTCCGACCTGCTCCTCACCGTCCAGCCGATGCACGTGATCCGTCCTGCCGGCTTGGAAAGATCCAGGGTTACTGCTGCGATTTCGGGCCTCTGCACAAGGACAGCCTCCCTTGTTGATGGAGAAATCACTCGGTCACCAAACTTTGACGCGATGCAAAAGCCTGAGGCTTAGACGGAGACCAGCCTGTCTGATAAGGCAACCCGTGATCCACAGAAGAAATGCGAAACAAAGTCCTCTCGGCCATTTTTGACCTGTCTTCTAGAACAGCACACGCACACAACCCAGACGTGCCGACACGTGCTGTCTGATGCAAGACGCAAGATGGGCACAGCGTAGTACTGCCATCGTGGTACTCTGCTTCCGAAACATCCAATGCCAATGCTGACACCCAACTGCCCGAGTCGTCTTCAGCCAGGCAGCAATGACATACTTGCAGGACGGTCCCGTCACGATAAACCTGGCGCAGGATTGCGGATTGTCGCTTCTCGCAAGGTGGGACTGTTGGCTCGCGGACTTTAGTCTCAGAAAGCGCCTCAACTCCTCACCAGGGTGATCCTGTATTACTTCTTGCAGCCGTCCCATAAGCTTCTGCCATCGTGTGATGGCAACGTGGGGACATGGGGACACCCATCATCATATGTCCGAAGACCATGATGGTACATCCGCCCAATTACATGAAGAGGCTTCTACACTTTCAGACGCCCCGAGGCCTTAGAGCAAGATGCATAGACTCAGCCCGAGCAACCGCTTCTGGAGGGCTCAGAACACTACACGTCCTCTTCAATCCGAAACGAAATCCGAAAGCTAAACCAGCGAATCGAAAGTCGATTCGACATCAAATGCTTCCAACTCTCTCGCCTCTGCGGAGGAACTCTGGCTGGGTGCCGCAAGCTTAAGCCGACCAGTTTAGAAGGCAATTCACCAAGGGTCGGATAGCTGGCAACATAAAACACAAACAATGGACGGTCACTTAGAAAGACATTTAAAAGAAAAGCGTATGGAGATAGCCTGCGCAGCAATAGACAAATAGAAGCATGTATGAGTATGTGTATGCATGTGCATGCCATCTACCTATCCATGTATCCACCTAGCAGTCTATTCATCTATCCTCAGTCCACCTGTCCATCTATGCACCTACCCATCTATCCATCTATCGGTGTGTCTTTCTGTCCGTCTGTCCGTTTGTCCGTGCATCTTACGCAAAGCCCTACGCAAGCCGTGAACCTCAGATTTTGATTAACATTAACTTTAACTCGTCCTTTAAAGCCTAACCCAACCTGAACCCCACTTAAATGCAGGCTCTAAGCCTGAAGCAGAAAATAAACCATCAATCGTAACGAACCTACTCCTTCCCTAAACCCTAGACCCAACACTCAGCTTAAGCCAAACCCTAAACTCATTTTTGCCAAAACCCCACAACTACCCCGCAGGGGGAAGAGGCTGGACCATGGGGGGGAGGGGCGGCCGAGGAGCGCGTGACCGAACATGTATGTATGTATATATGTATGTATGTACATACATACATACATATATATATATATATATGTGTGTGTGTGTCTCTGTGTGTGTGATGGTGATATGATATGATATGATATGATATTTTTTGCCAAGCAGATGTTTGTCTCATGCACGAAGAAAATACAGTACACCAACAAACTCTTTTTCTTGGGCAAGTCAGTACCGGTGTGTGCTTGCGTGTGCTTGTGCGTGTGTGCGTGCGTGTGTGCGTGCGTGTGTGGGTTGTATGTATGTCTGTACGTACGTAAAAAATGCATGTCTGTCTCTTTCTTTCGCCAGGGTTATGATGTAGAGGTTTCCCTCTAGACTCTAGACATGTCTCTCTGTCTGTCTGTCTGTCTGCAACCGAGTTCAATACATCTACACATCCATACTTATTCGTTGCTCCATGTGTGTGTGTAAGCATTACGCGACAGAAAGGTGTCCGTGTTGCCCCTGCGTTCTGTGGTTTCGGAGTTCGGAGTTCTTGGTGAGCCAGGCAGCATGCCGGGCGTGCTAGACGGACAGGCGGGCAGACAGGCAGACAGTCGCACCACAGCCCGACTGTAAGTCAGAAACTCGAAAGGATTCAACAACAGCACCGAGGCTCCTGTGCCAGTTCTGTTCCTCTCTCGACCTTGCACCAGACGAAGAAACGAAATGTCAAAGGCTTCGGGGAGGGCACCCGAATTCCTACCGCACCTGAAGTAACTAGAGCGACGATCTCGGGAAGCGTGCTGGGGGCCTTGTCCTGAAGGGCAGCCGAAGGCAGAGAACAACAGGATCCACAACAAATCCCGAGCCTTGAACCTACCATAACTGACCACTACCCATCCTTGCCTTCGGCAAGATACCGCATATTCAGTGCCATAGACCGCGAATTGCGAATCAATCTACCACTTCGGCCAGAATGGTCTCAAAGCCCGAGTGTTAACGGGACCCAACCATTTCCAGTTGAGTGCGTACCGAAACCCTCCCATCTTCTCCCTCCCCGCTCTGCGAGGCCTCTTCCTCCCATCGCTCCCAGCGTTCTTGGGCAAGTCTCCGGTCCGCTTCTGCAGGCACGGGTTTCAGTGTGGTTTTGGATTAAGTCCGGCCTAACGATCTCAACCCCAACCTGACAAAACACCCACAAACACAAGCATAGGAAAAAGAAGCACAGGACCGCAATGGACATCTGTACTGTCAGTCCCTAGACAAACACCTGCCTGCTTCTTGCAGGCCTCCATTTCGAACAGCCTTCCGCAGCAACCTCAGGAAGTTACTTCCGCTGGGACTATCTCGGGCTTTAGGGGGATTATGTGGGTTTTCGGCTTTCAACCGTAAACTTCTCAACTTTCGGGGTCTAGGATGATGTTTTCCGCTACTTGTAGAGTAGTGATGCTTGTGCCAGCCCCCCGCAGGAATTCCAGACCCTACCCTGAGCGAAGTGCGGACATCGCTGACCAGATACTACAGCCTAACCCTGGAGAAGAAGTCAGATCATGATGTTAGCACATTAAAACACGCAAAAAAACATTAAAACGATTCCCAGCACCCCAGCATCAAGACAGCTTGTTCTAACGCCAGTGGCTAGTGAGTAACTAGAGCGAGAAAACCCGGGAACTGTCACTCGGCGCGTAGGTGTAAGCACGATGCAGAGCCTAGCCAGAGCAATGAGCGGCACAAGAAAAACGGCAGGAGGCCGGCAGCCCACAACCAAGAATTGATATCGTAGCATGTTGCATTATACGGTATTGACCGACTTGTTGCTGTATTACACGGCCTTGTGCTGTATTGTCTTAATATACAGTATAGCATACCATGGTATGGTGTAGTATAGCATGCTAAAATGCGCTGTAGTTTATTACGGCATAATAACCCACAGTATAGTATGTCGCGCAATCGTGCTCTACAGCATAAGTTATGTTACTGCGCGTTGGCGCAATGCATCATACTGCATAGTTTTTGGTATGTATTATATAGAACATAGTGTGTAGTATTGCCTATATAGTCTTGAGCAAACAGTATATGGTACATAGTGTGTTATATGGTATATAGTACACACTATAGACAGGCATGAGGCAGCATAGTATAGTACATTGTGTATGTATATACATCTATATACATAGATATATATATATACGAAAATCTATAAATATAAATATATATATATATATACATAATGCAAACATCCCAGCATCCAAAGCTCGAAACAATACTAGGTCTTGGGCGAAAGATCAGAGTCGCCAAGATCAGTTCGGAGAATAAACACGCGGCAATGTCAGTGGTTGCAGAAATCGCAGCAGCACAGGCCGATCCTCCATCACTTGCACGTACATACTGCGCATCAGCGAACATACAAACAGCGACATCGCCAGCAGATTCAAGAAGCTGAAGCCCAAGACAACAAGGAACCATTCTGCTGATAATTGCTCAAAACGTATCATGGCATCAGGAACGCCTGCCCTAATCCCTCCAACCCGTGCACCATGCAGCAAAAAGAACAGAACCTACTGAACTGGCCGGCCGGCGCGTAGGCGGCACGGAGCTGCTGGAAGTCCTGGCATGGCACTTCGACAGGTCGTGGCGATGACACGGGGTCCGGCCGGGTTCAGGCTCTAGGATTTCGTCTATGGAAACTGCGGGCTCAGAGTTGCAATTATGATGGGTTGCACCCTTTTGCGGGGGGCTTGTGTCCTGACGCCCAGACGGTGTCATCAGAGCCTTGTTATGCACAGACTTGTACATACCTAAACCCGAACCCCAAACCCTCAACTACCCCGAATCCAGTTTTCGAGGCCGTCAAAAGCTGTTTGGCAGCAGAGCAACTTCAGCAGCACTGACCAGAGCATGGAGCTGAACCCACCACGAGCCGCCCATCGTTCTCGCAATACTAGTCATCAGCATCAACGCGCCCTTGGTGCAGTTATGGGGGCTCAGAAGGCCCGAAGGCCCGTAGCCGCCGTAGGAGTCGGCTCGTCCCCAGCTTTTGCGCCTCAATTCACCTCAGACTGGCGCGTCGCTCGTCACAAAGGTGGGAACTCGTAGCGCTCCTGGCTGCCCCAATCTGGCCACGGGACGTCCTGAGCTTTGCAGCCCTGGACGACATAAAACATCTCGTCTCCCAAATCCTAATCGCTGGTCCTTAACTCTCTGAGTTCAATTCGCAGTTTATCCCAAGTCTCCACGTCCCAGGGGTTCGGAAGAGGCTCACAAAAAGACGCGAGCGGCGTCTCGGCCTCCCGTGGAGTCCTCGCCTGCATCTGCTCTCTATTCTGCTCTCTGTAGGCTTCCTTGGCTGTGGTCGGGCCGTGCAGACGACGCATGGTTCGGGGGCTTCGTTCTTGCAAGTGGTTCGGAACTGGAGAGCACCGGCATCCATTCATTGAGGGTGGCAGTCACCGGCCCTACCCATACCATGATTCTTTGGGGAAACACATTCAAACATTTCTTAAACCAACCGCACTGCATCCCACTGCATGCAGTCTGGGCCTAAGGTTTAGCGTAGCTCTGAATTTGGGATTGGACACGTAGTGAAACGACCTGCAGGGCAACCCGCCGACAAACGCTGGCTCTGAAGATGACCCGTGGTTGGTGGCAGGTGGCTGGTGGCCGTTGTGAGCAATAAGGGGATTGTGATGGTCAATACAGTCGTCTCTAGAGCCAAAGCGAAACTCTGCTCGAACCCAGCCAGTCCAAACATTAAGAAAAGGTCTCAATGGCATTATTTATGGTCGTATGTGAACCTGGCTGCACGCAAAAAGCTTACCCCTGGGCCACTAAGTCTAAGTTTCGCGGTATCTCCAGACGTTGCGACACTCGGCTTCCAACCAGATGTAGTCACTCACCCGGTGGCCGTTCGCTGTAGCAATGGGTAGAATCTCTTTCGCGAAACGCAGCTCCAGCTCCTCAAGGAGTGTGAGGGCGGTACCAGTGCGGTCGCCCCTCCCAGTGCGGCCGATCCGGTGGACGTACTTGAGCAGGGCATTCTTTCCCCCCGCCGGATAGTCATGGTTCACAACCCAAGCGCAGGTAAAGAAGTCGAAACCTCGGGAAAGGACATCAGTTGTCACCAGAACACGTGGCTGTGGACAGGATTCATCCCTGAAACGGTTGTAGATGTCGTCGGAATACCATAGGCTTCGGGTTCGACCGAAACCTTCGATGTCTCCTGGCTCAAGAATCTCGGAGGCCTCAAGCAGCTGAACCACTCGCTCCACGTTTCCACGTGGGTCAGCGCTCGCATTTACGAACACGATGACCTTCGCGCCGGCTTTGAACTCTCTAGAGCAGCAGATGAACCGAATAGCTTTCACAAGAGCCTGGTCTTTCGTTTCACCTTGCTTCCACTGCCAGGGGTCTGCAGGGTCACCACGTCCAGGGCACCAGAATCGTTGCGTTACACGCTCGCAAGCTTTCAAATCTGTTCCTCCCACAGCGACGCGGAGGCCACGGTCGAGCTTGATGTCCTTTAATCCATCCCTCCATGTCGCAGTGAAGAGCAGCGTTTGCTTGTCTTTGCGAGTGCTCTTCATGAGTATCTGTAAGGGGGTGATCATTTCGGAGGCGTTCTCGCGGTCTGGGCGCAAGAGCATGTCGTCTGCCTCATCCACCACAATGTATGTCGTGCGATCGATGTCATACTGTTCCGAAGAGAGAAGGTCCCCCAATTTGCCTGGAGAGGCACACAGAATGTCACATCTCCCCAGCTCGGGCCCTCTGTCACCTGTGCTGCAACTCACCACTCGTCTCGAACATCCACTATATTTACACCATGCCTCCGCCTCTTGGGCAATTTGTTGGCAGAGCTCTCTCAAAGGCAGCAGGACCAAGGCAACACAACCATCGTGAGTCCGCAGGGCTGGCTGCACCTCGACATGTTCCAGGAGAGGGAGCAGGTAGCACAGGGTTTTGCCACTGCCCGTTGGGGCAATGCCCACCAAATCCCAGCCTTGCATCAGCAAAGGCCACCCCTGCATCTGGATTGGTGTTGGCTTCTCGTAGCCTCTCCGTTTGAGCTGCTCTTTCACTGCATCTCCAAACGGCGCATACTCAAGTTTGAACACGGGCGTCGGCATGTCTTCTAGATATTCTTGCTCCGTGTCCCAATCGACGATGTCGATCCCGTGCTTTGCACGCAGGAAGCTGCCATTGGACGTGCTGTCTTCTATAAAGAAAATATTCTTAACATAATGTGTCGCAACACGCTGTGGCAAATCGAGGCCTCGGCGGTCCTTCTCTGGGAGCAACGTCCTTCGCTTGCCCTTGCCTGAGGAACAGACAGAAAACTCCGTCACCAAAACATTTCCGAGCGCATCAAGATCATCCCGACCGCCAGGGCAGGGTCCGCCCTCGTCTGGTGATTAGTCACTAGTCAATTGTACCATAGGCAATTCATCACAATATGTAAACAGGGTTATGACTGCCCTATCCCGCTGGATCACATCTCTTAAGCTCGCCCCCTCCTTTGGCGACCCCGGTTCATCATGTATCTTCAACACGCCTCCTCATCTGGCGATCCTGATTCAACACATATCTTAAACCCGCCCCCCTCCTTTGGCGATTCCGGTTCATCACATATCTTAAACACGGACCCTCCTTTGGCGATCCTCATGCATCACATGAATCATCACATATCTTAACCACACCCCATGCCCTAGGCGATCCCGGTTAATCGCATCTCTTGAACCCCCCCTCATTTGGCGATCGTGGGTCATCACATGTCTTAACCTCGCCCCCTCCGTACTTCACCAGCGTTCGCAGTCACAGCTGCGCACTGCTGACGAAACCTTCCTGCACAGACGAACACGTGGCCTAGTCTCATGCACACTTATCCAGAGTCCCGTCCAAAACGGAAATTTCACAGCAAAAGATGAGATTAAGTCGCAGTAAACCCTAGATCCGTTATCCAGCCTTGCCTTTGCCATCCCCTTTGGGAGACCAGCCATCTTGCCAAGAATTTCTTTGGCTGGGCTGTATGTAGTTGTCCCATGCCGACATGCAAACCGCGCAGAGGATCAGGCTGAGGATGCAGGCACGCGTCACTATCCCCTTGGTGTCCTTGGGCTCAAGACGGCTTTCATTGTTGCTTGCTGGCAAAGTAAACGGTAGAAGAACAGCACGCATAAAAGACGACAGCGGTGCCTGGATCCAAGATTGGCTACGGCGCAAAAAACAGGCGTGCGGCCCGCTATTCCTTCGCGCACACTCGATCCGACTCAGGCTAGGTCTTTGATGTTGGCTAAGAGGTCAAAATATCATTGAACTCAGTGCCGACGGAAAGCAGGACTCCAAACCACGCAGCTGGCACAGCGTCCTCAACAAAACCCATGCAATGAGATTCCATGCACGAAGCCCTGCCAGACTTATACAGACCCTGCCACCCCGTGCCCACCATGTCTTGGCCTCTTTGCTTCCTCCAGCATCTGGGTGCACAAGCTTTGCCTTTCTGGGCACAGGTTTCTCTACAATTACCCAGATAATCTCTGCTCTCATTTAAGTCTTAACGTTCAATTGCCCCTGACGACGGGTTTGGCTGGCTCTCTGGACCCTTCCCTGAAGCTTCCCGAACACGGATCTTCTCTCAAGTCGAAGACCGGCATCACAAAAAGGTGCCGCAATCCACCGCACCCGACAAAGGAAGTCGTCGCTTTCTGGCACGTCTGCGATATTTTCATGGTTAACGGTTAGCACTGCTATCATCACCGGCGTTTCAGCACAGAAAAAGCAACATCAGAAGCCTTGGAGCGGAAGGCACGGCGAAGGGCAGTGGAAAAGTCGGCCTCGAGCTCTTGGGATCGGGGCACAGGCAGTGTCTGCTCTTTGAGACCGGGCGTTGTGATTTTGCAGCGTCTCGGAACATCGCGTAGGGTTGTGGTCGATCCTGTCTGCTAGGATGTTTGGATGCTTCTGGCTGTAAGATGAGGAGACCGTTCAACGAAGGAGTGAGGCAGATCAACCCACGATCTCTACCTGCAGCTTTCTGGAGAGTTGGGCCTGGCTGCTCCTTTGGCAACCGTCGCCCCACTCTTGCTGTAATCGGCAAACTTGAAGAGAAAACTGCCATCAAACGGCATGCATCTGTGTATGTCTGTATGTAGTATGTGCGTACGTATGTATGTACGACCCGCGCGCATACCTACGCACGTCCATACGTACCTACGCACATACATAGATTCACCAATACGAAAACAGCACTCGGGCACGAACCATAGCAAATCAATCGGAAAAAGACCAGCCCAGACCCAGAACTCGTTCGGGCCTCGTCTAGCTCGACACCGAGAAGGGCAAGAGCTTCGGATTCCTCAGAAGCTCATATCAAAGAGGTCGCGGGCGTAGATGCTCCTATTGGGTTATTGGACATCAGGGTTCTCAGTAGCTCTTTTTGGCACTCGCACTCGACGCAGTAGCTCTTACTCCTGTCCATCGAAGTTGAAGCGGGCGTGGCCGCTCTGGTCAGCTCTCTCTCTTTCTTTCCCCAGGGTTGTGTGCACGGTATTACGTGTCGCAGGTGTCTGGCTCTCCGTGGGCGGAGCTGTGTCTCTCTCTCTCTCTCTCTCTTTCTTTCTTTCTGCCGGGCTCTATCTCTCTCTCTCGCTCTCTCAGCTGCATGTGTGATCTTTATTTGTGGCTGTGATTGTCTTTTGCTTGCTTGCTCGCTTAGGGGTCTGGGGACAAGTCCCCTGACCCGAAGGACTACCGCCCCCGCCACGGTCCGCAGTCGTTCTTGGAGAGGCCCCTATTCGGGGCGGTGTCTCTCTCTCTCGCTCAGCTGGATTTGTGATCTCTATATTTGAGGCTGTGATTGCACGATTTTCGGATACAAAGGCGGAAAATCCCTATTATCGTCGGTGTAACCATCATGATCAGCTAGAGCTGGAGGCCTCCGAAAGGCACCGCCGAGGCGAGCAGAGCCTCTGCCGGTCGAAGAGCCTCCGCATCTCCGGCATCTGCTACATACTCTATCTGTCTATATCTATATATCTATATATCTATATATCTATATCTATATCTATATCTATATATATATATACATATACATATATATATATATATATACATATATATATATATCAATATATCAATATATCAATATATCAATATATCTATATCTATATCTATAGCTATATCTATCTATATATATATATATACATATACATATATATATATATATATACATATATATATATCAATATATCAATATATCTATATATCTATATATCTATATATCTATATATCTATATATCTATATATCTATACATCTATATATCTATACATCTATATATCTATATATCTATATATCTATATACCTATATATCTATATATACATATATACATATATTGTGGGGCTGCTTTCCTTACAGGCTCCGCAGGCATGCGAACCTTCTTGCATGACAAGCCACACACGGTTCAGAAATCGGTGGGCAGCACCGATGAGGAAGAAGCTTCGGTTCGACCAAAAGCTCAGCACGAATTAAGCGAGTGACTGGCAGAAAGGATCGGGGCAGGCAACATCAGAAACACGAAGCATCTTCAACCACGACTCCACAATCCAATTCCCTCCAGTCTTCCAGTCGCAGAACATCTGGGCCCACCCACGGCCTGGCAGCCTCACCATGCCCACTGCCGAATACTGACAAATACTGCCAGTAGCCCCATAGCCTATCCGATTGTTTGTCAGTCGCTGCATCATGAGTGCAGTCTTAATCACTATCCCTCTGCGCATACTTAGCTCCAACCCTTCAGGCTGAGGCACAGCTGCCCAGGCCGCAGGCAACGCTGATTCTTTACAAATGCACGTGTTGCCCCGGCACAGCACCAACAAAGCTACTGAATCACTGAATCGCAATCGTAGAATCCGGTGGAGTCCTCAACAATCTCGGTGGGCGCTTGGATGATGCTGCCCGGGCTGTGTGCAGCGCTCTTGGCCGCGGTGGAAAGAAACTTGAGAAAACAGTGCAGAGACCTGTTCTTGCAAAGCGGGTATTGTGGATACAGAATACAGGCTCTGGTCGTGCGGTATCTTGGCCTCTGCGTCTTCCCTGAGCCCTATAATGGAACCGGCAGCTTTTGTGCCGAAGATGCGTGATGTGCCTGGGCTTCCGAACAACTGACAGCCAAAACCTGAATGCCACAACCTCAGCATCTCCAACAAACTGCCGAACTTCACACGTGCCACTCACCCGGGCTCATCAACTCGGAGGTCTGTGTCAGACCCTACTTCCGAAGAGAAAAAGCCAACGGAAGCGCCAAGAGGGCGGCAAAGGGCGCGTAGACTCGATGGCCAGCACTGACGGCGCCACTGACACTGCCGCCGCCGCTGATGCTGCTGCTGCCACTGCCACTGCCACTGCCACTGACACTGCTGCTGCCACTGCTGCCACTGCTTCCACTGCTGCTGCCGCTGCTGCTGCCACTGCTGCTGATACTGGCGGGACCACCGTAGCCGTTGCAGTACTGGCAAGAGCTTCGAGTTGTGCACGTGCAGACACCGCAGCTCACCAGATTGGATGGGCAGAAGCCACCACCGTTAGAGCCGGAGGTATGGGTGCTTGCCGGTGCCGCCGGGGCGGGGCTGTTGCTCGGACCCGTGCTGCCGATGCTTGCTGGGCCCCCACTTCCGTCGCACCACTGGCAAGCGATCCGATCGGTGCACTTGCAGACACCACAGTCAACAGCCCCAGCCACGCCGCATGAGGCCAAGTGGCGCGGCTCATTGGCACGCATTGTGGAGTTGACCACTCCTGAAGCAGGCGGCTCGGCCATCACGAGTCCCAAACCAGCCAAAACCATGAGGAGAGCCATCATGATCTCTAGGACAGTCGAAAACTAAGACGCTCAGAGCTCGGAGTTGCAAAACGGTCTCGAGCCGCCGTCAAGCGTGTCTTTTGGGCCTGGAGTTTTTTGGAGCGGATCCAAGGTTTGAGGCCAACTCCTTGCCTTGGTGTCAGCCCTTCAACATGCGACCGAGGGTACAGGCTGGGGATGTTTCAAATCGCAAAGCAAGTCTGAAGAGTTTTCATGGCTGATTACAGACAAGCCCATCACAGTGCCTGCATGGTGCAGTGAAGGCAAAGCCGAGAAAGCCCCAAACGAGGGCCTCAGCACATCGTCATACAGTGGCATGCAGCTTCCCACGGTTGGCTTCTTAGCCCACGGTCATGACACACACTCTCTGCACGCAGGCAGTTTGCCACGATTCATGCACGCACTGGAGGTCTGTGTTTCAGCAAAAGCTAATCACGAGCGAGATGCAATCAAGCAGGGCCATCGCACCGTGTAACTCGCTGCAGTCATCGTGCCATTGCACGGCCAAGGAATAAAATTCACTTAGAGAGGCTGTTGCACCTGAGGACAACCTGAGGGCTCGCAGAAGAATTTGCACAGTTCATCGCGCCACTCTTCGAGTTTGCAGCAGATCAACTGTCTGCACATGAACTAGTCCGGTGTTTGACATGTTTGACCCAACTTCAAGCCATCGTTTCGGCGGCTACTTCCTCAGAGCAGAAAAAGATGTATTTCTGCGTTTAACCCTGACTGGCTGCGATTAGTGTCCACATGTTTGCAAGTGCCCACATCTTTCTGACGCCGAAGCTTGGGGAATCCTCCTCATTGATCGGGGACTCCTTTGCAGCCAAGATGGCTTTGCTTTCAGCACAATGGCAAGCTATGATCCTAAAGAAGTGTGAGACCCGGAAGTATGGCTCGGATGTCCTCTCCTCACTATTGCCCGCCTAAAGGGTCACTCTGCTCTGAGACATACTTTTGATGCTAGACGCCCTCCAGCTCAGCTCGGAGGGCGAGGGATTTTGCTCAAGGCTACGGTGGCTTCATGGGTGTCTTTGCCACAAAGCCAGTAATTCCGGAGCTGCTAATCTCTTCGCCTCTTCGAAACACTTGGCCGAGGGTTTTGTGTGGCTGGCGACGGTGGCCGATTGTCGGCGGTTAGGCCTGGCGTGGCTCGGCACTTGTCGAACCCGCATCAAGCGAGTTCTCAGGCAATCCCCTTGCCCTCAAACTCGTCATACAGAAACGGCGTATGGCCCCAAGCCGTTGACTGTCCATACATCAGACGACTTCGCTGATATCCAACACCGAAACCTCAAAGCAACGACACCATCAGTGCCCAAAATGCCCGATGAACGGTAAGAATCCAAGCAACCACTGTCTGAATAATAGCTTCTGCTCCGGTGCCAACATACCTACAAACACCAACTTCTCAATCACAACTCTGTCCAAAGTTCGACACACTCTGCATCGGCAAGCAACGAAGCACGAGAACTGACGCTTCGGATTTCAGGCCCGGGGCCTGCCGCAAAAGCTTTGCCTGATCAGCTGGGGCAATCCACACCCGCGGCTTGATCTCAATCTCCACGTCCTAAGAACGGGCTGAAGCTTAGACCTGCAAAGGGTAAAGATGCCAAAACATGCCTGCATGAGCGAGTCGCGATGACGTCCATGCCTGTGCTTGGGCTCCCGTGTGCATTCAGCATCAATACCAGATGTACCACCACCCGAAAACATCCATGCCCAATGCCCGCTACAAATTCGTTATCGGTATCGAGAACACTGAAGGAGGCCAAGACGAGAACCTCGACACTACGCTTGCAGAGGTTTCCCTGGGCATCCATGCGGCTCCGATGGCGAAAGCCATGCGAAAAGGAACATTCTTCTGCTCACCACCCCATTTACACTTAGCCTGAAAAATACAATTTCTTGCTCATGTGAGGGCCAAGCAGGTGACCAATAAACGACTTCCCTCAAGGCTACAAATGCTCCCATACGGAGGTTCTGCACTCAGTCGAGAATCACCAAGTAAGGGAACTTGCAATGAGTGATGCTGATTTACACGCTCTGGATAGTCACACGCTCCTCAAGTCTACGGATCCGCCCTCAATTGGGGTTCTTGCTGTCACCTTGGAATATTCTATGCCCAAGCTGATTTGCAAAAGTATGCTTGTCGTTACCGCCGGCAGCTAGCCAACTACAATAGCGGGCAAACCTGCTACTAACTTCAGTAAACCTCACTCATTCATTCAAGCCCTCGCAGCGTTGCCAGGGTTCGCCGGCATCATTGACGTCCACCACCACCGTCGGCAGCCATGCGCGATGGGTCATGGACTGGTACAAGACTCTCCTGACCAAACTCACAAGCATCACAAGCGGTGCAATAACCAGCGTTGACTAGCTAAGGAAACACATATTATTGCCATCACCAGCCAGCAGGAGCAAAGCAGAGAGTCTAATGGCGACGACGACCAACAACAACAGCAACAACCGCTACTACTGCTGCTACTACGACGACGACTACTACCACTATCTACTACTTCTATTGCTGCTGCTACTGCTACTGCTGCTACTACTACCGAAAAATACAATTCCTGCAATACTCAATGCATGTACTGGCATGTCTGGATCTGCATCGGCGTTCCGGACGAAGAGCCTCCATGTGCCAACACCCCCTCCCGTGTGTCTCTGTAAACTCAGAGCCTTGATCGCGGTAGGCCCCGGATGTAAATGTCTGGACACGGCTAATGCAAAGAAGGCTCTTGCCCACGCTGAACTCTGTGTCTGCCATGCCACCGGGACCGTGACGAACATAGTGCACCTCGTTCCGACTCTTGTCTGAGAAGTGACTGCTCCAGAAGTGGCGGTGCCTTCTGTTCTCGGTGGATGAGAGCGGCTGCCGCGCTCGAACAACGCGTGTTGGCAACCAATATTTGCAGAACTTCTTGGCTGCATCCCTAAAATGTGCGACAGTCTACGAAGCTGGCGGTAGACTGTTGTGAATATACACATATATATATATATGACGAAAGCTACCATAGAAGATTCCAACATTGTGTAGCAAAGTGGCGTTCGTGAAAAACTACATTTAGCTGCCCGGCTGTTGCTAAGCCCATTGTCCGCCGTCGTTCATTCGGGTCTGAGTTGAGAGGGCGGTTACGAACAGAGTGCCCTCCCAGAGTTATCCAGTTCCCACAGTTTGTGTACCAGTGAAGCCGCCACTGGCAACCCAGAAGAGCCAACTACCGAAGAAGGCAGGGGAAATTGCTGCTTTTTCACAGAGCAGTCGTTAGTTCATTAGCCTTCCATTCAAGAGCAAATTCAATCGGCACTGATGGCTCCTGCCAGCTTGACTGCTGCGACATGACCATCAAACCACAGATCCAACGCCGCAAGCCAAGCAGGGATTTCTGGACTTTCAGCTGGAACGCAAGAGACAAGCACTTCAGAGGTTCTTCACGGGTAGCACTTCCTCTTCTTCTAGGTTTAGGTCGCCTGCGCTAGTAGGAGCGCTGAATAGAACCAAGGTCCATGACCGGAAAGCACACCAAAGAAGCCTTTTCGTGAACCTTGTGCCGAAACTGACCTACACTCCCTAAGTCCACGCCGGAAGGCTCGACTGCAGATTTCCGGGGCTGAGGAGACAAGGGAAAAAGCAAAAAACAAGCCTGAAGACCAAACCTTATCCCTAAACCTGCCATGAAAGATAATCGAAGGATGTAGCAACTTTGTCAACTCGAACTTTGTCCATCCAACTCGTGCTCGGCACCCAAAGCAAAAAAAACGTGCGAACTCGCCAAAAGCCCCCCCCACACATAGCGGCGCACCTGACCCTGGCTGGAGCAAGCGTCCACACAGGGGCTGCATGCCTGGGGTGGCGAATTCAAGGCCGGAGTTGATAGCGAAAGCCCAGCGAAAGCCACTGAGGCTTCCGCCGTGCTCAAACTTAAGACAGCAGTCCACAGCCTTCGAGAACATTAGCAGTCAGCAGCTCTCGTCTCCAAACCCTGCAACTCAGCATCCCCCGAAGAACTCCACGGCAGTGAAGAGACGTTGCAGACTCGAACATCGGCAAAGGCACCGCCAAGGGGGTGCCAAGAGTAGCGAAGAAGGCCTCTAGCGCAGTCTGTGGCCTGAGTTAAGTTTTCGGATCTGGGTCTTCAAGGAAGTGTGGGGCTTTTAAGCTCCTAGTTTTCCTCTTGATTTGCAGCAAGTCTCTTCCGGGCCTCGCACTGGAATCGGTCGGGGCTTTCGCGCAAACTCTTCACGGAAAGGAAAGCTGCGTCAGCCCATCGGGCGCAGGTGCAAGGAATAATGGGGCACTTTGGTGTTCAGGCATGGGTGGGTGGGTGGGTGGGTGGGTGGGTGGGTGTTTGTGCGCGTATGTCTCTATCTAAACTACTTACGTACCTACCTACCTACCTACCTGCGTACCTACCTATCGATATCGGTATCTGTGTATATGTGGGTGCGTATGCGTCGCGTCTTGTGAATGCTCATTTGTAGTGTATGTGTATGTATGTGCGCGCCTGTTGTCCATCTGTCTGTCTGTCTGTCTGGCGTATGCGTGTGTGTGCATGTGTAGTATGCATGTGTGTATGTATGTACGCATGTATGGATGCGTGCATGCATGGATGGATATGCATGGATGTCTGCCTGCCTGCCTGCTTGCCTGCCTGTCTGTCTCTGTCCTGTCTCTATCTCTCCGTCAGCCTCTCTGTCTGTAGGTGCATCCACGCAAGTGTGCGAACTCGTACGTGTGCACGCATACACAGACACACACCCATGTAGAGACGGTTGCGGTTGTGCTAAATTCGGCTAAACAGTGCCAACCGAGTTGCTGCGCTTTCCCCAGCAACGGGTCCTGTGCATGACTGCTTTGGGCTTTCTGCCGGATTTGGGTTCAAGTAGCACCTTGCCCATCATCTCGTCTACATTATGAGCCTCCTTCGAAGTGCTGCTTCGGGGATGCCAAGATTCTATAGAGCTCAAGCCTCGATGTTTGTTGGCTGTTGCCTTGG